TTACCATGGCTACTGGTAATGTACACTGCCTACTTCCAGCTAACAACCAGGCGGCTAACTTAGATTAACATCAACTCGTTACTAAAGGCTAACATGGCTAATGACCAAGCTAACATTAGCTTTTCAGTCTTAGCATTACTTTATAAGAAGAACATAGAAGTTTGATCTTGATGCTAAAATGGAATCTGCTTTGAATCAATTCTGTGTTTATTTTAGGCCCAATAGTTTCAAACATTTGTTTCCCTGTTTGACCCACTTATTTAAAACTATGCATCAATGTTTTAGCTAACAGTTATGTCAACATGACATGACATAACTAATGAAATACTAGTTATGAGTATTTAACTAGTTGTGTATTTTTTAGCTCTTGAAGGTATTATGATAGCAATATATAATATTATTGTAGTCAAGCTAATAATTAGTTTAAAAATAAATATTAGTTCGCTTTTAAATAATAAAACCATGTAGTAAGTATCTTTAAATGTTTTTTTTTACTACCATCTAATGGTGAAGTGATAGGGATGTTGACATGAGTTTAGATGTATCCTATTGCATTAATTTGATTTGTCATTGTGCGCTTCGAGTCAGACTGTGTGACTGCTGTGTCCACATTGTGTTTATACTTCCTGTAAAGTTTTCAGTAAATACATGAAGGCGTATAGTTGACACTTTATCACTGACGTTCTTATTCAAACATTTTCTTCTTCATTAAGGTCATCATTTCATCACCATATGGAGCATGTCTACCATGAATGATGACATTTTCCTCTCTGTAAACTGAGATTCTGTGTCATTCCTGATGCACGACACACAACGTCACCGACCAACACATGCTCAAATTACAGTATGAATGGACAACGGAAATCATACATTGTACCATCAAACAGGGGTCATTGTGTCGTTATCTTCTATCGCCGCCATTCATTATGAGAACAGAGGCTCAGCACAGGAAACAGAGGAACGTTTCCCACTGAATACAGCGCTGCATTTCCTGACACATGAACCCTGTGCAGTATTAATGGAGTCCCAACAGGCTACTTTTTTTAGGAGGAGAAGACAAGCAAAAAGAAAGAAAAAGAGAGTTTGCAAATGCACATCTCCAGAATGCTCTCACTTCCGCTTTTGCATGAATATCATCTGTGTGAATGTTCTACCAGCCTCAGCGGGCTCCGACGTCTGCCTCGTTTGATGTTTAATTAAAAGCATATCAGGAAGAGAAGGGAGCTTTGTCGTTTGTTGCACTGCGTTTTGAAAAATAAGCTAGTGTCAATAAAAATGCATTACAGAAACATACTAGCAGTTGCTGACAGCTGAGAAATACAGGAAGGATGAACGGAGAGGAAGAAAGTGGCTAAACAAATGAGGGTAGAGTGGCACTGAAACATCATTTGGCAGAAATAATCAAACAGGGGACAACATACATGTGCTGGCGCTGCCATTTCCACTCTTTAATTTATTCAGGCAGCCACATAATGCAGATGAGTGGTGCTTGTTGCCGGTCCTGACGACTGCAGATAACTTTGGTTTCCATCTACGCCCCGATCTGCCTGAGGATGGAGCAGTGCTCCCTGATCATTTGGCGCTGCTGTCGCAACAATAAGCAAACACTCAATTCTTAGAGACAAACATGGCGCTGCGCGTCTGCTGGGTGAACTTCCTGTTTGAGGTAATGTGACACCACAAAACATCAGCAGATTCATCATGAAGCTGCAGCTTTTAGTGTTAGGATGCTTCCAATTCTAGAGGAGATTACCCACATGATGAAAGTGATTGGAGAAAAAAAATATTTTTCAATGGCTTTCTGTGACTTTATTAAAACATATCTATTTATTTGACTAATGCAGCTGCGAACTGGGTCCCATCAGGAAAACCATGCAAACCATGTCCTGTTACTGCTAATTCTTTTACACTCAGAATCAAACAAATACAAAAATACCAAAAGTACCAACTCCCTGACAGATTTTATTTACACTAAATGACAGAAAAGCTATTGGTTAAAGATAACCTGCATAAAACCAATGTACAAGGAAAAAAGTAATTCGCCCTACAGAAGACAATTAGGCCCACTGAAAACAAAACTAGACTCTTTTTCTCAGAATTCTGACTTTAGTCTTCTGACAAAAATTTTTTATATTTCCTTAGTGGTCCTAATCCTCTTCCATACCCCGCCCCCCACCCTACACTGAGCTAGCCAGATAATATTACTGCAGAAGTCTGCAGAAACAGTTAACTAGTCTACTATGACTTACCTGTAAACACAAAAGAGAGCAGAAGCTCTCTAAACTCATTAAATCAATCACTCCACATTTAAAGGAAATTCAATAACAGACTCTCTAACAGACACAGGATTCAATTTGAACCTGGAAAGCTACAGGAACCATTTCAGGGAGTAAAAAAGATCCTAAAATCTTCCAGAGATGCTCTGCAGAGGTGGCGAGTGAGAATGCAAATATTGGCTCAGTTTGCTCTGGGCTTCTTGTGGGGGATTTTCATCCCAGCCTCCCAGTAAAATATCTGGGAGTGAAGCCAGTGAGGCCAGGTTCAAGTGTAACAGCAGAGCATCCACAGCCGCTACAACAAACTGCTGGAGTTCTGCTGACCTGTGGGTTGCTCTCAACTCGGCCATATTCTGGATTCACTCAAATCCACCTGGTGATGACTCCAACTTTGAGACGGGGAATAATAAAATTTACTCATCTTTCTCAAAGTGCTGTTAAAAAAAATAGATTTTCCAAACTATGCTTTTCCAGTAAAGTCCTTTCTCCTGAGGACACCAAGTAAACAATCTCTTTTTTTTAGTTGTAAAAGTGCAACTTCCTCAGAACTTCCTTCTCCAACTGGGAGCGAATGTGACAGGTAGTCAATCAGAAAGTACGGATTCCCCTTCGTGCTTTCTGAGTGGAAAGCATGAAGGGGAATCCCAAACACCTGACACGGCGCAACCCGAAGTCCAGCGGACATCGGAGATGATATGTGGAAACAACATTAATGTTTATTCAACATTTCATGAGAGGAATATCCACAGAAATGACAAAGAGAGGAGTTGGAGCGAAAATGTTACCGCAGTTGATAAACCGGTAACATTTCAGCTGTTTATCGTTAACGTGACATAAATAGGTTATAATGATAAGGCTATTTATTCAGCCGCGTTCGTTTACTTTAAATTCACGTGTGATATAATGTGAGCTGAGCATTACACTAAGGAAATGAGGAAGGGAGGGTCAGTGGAGAGCACCGGAGTTGAGCCTTTTTTCATTCAGTGTCATCAATAGGAAGAAAAAGGCAGGAAGAAACGATAAAGCCGACCAATTAAAATAAGGTTGATAATTTTAATTTATCATGCGATTAATTGATTTATTGTTTATTGCGACAGGCTTTCATTGCTTTTATATTTATTTCAGCCTTCTAGTCATTCCTGGAACTTGGTTAAATGAGTCATTCTTTAGAAATGTGGACGCTGACATTAGCATTAGCTGCTACATGTTTAGCATTGAGGTGTTATTTCAGGCTTCAATTGCTTCACTGCTAGGCCAGCTCCTTTAGCACAACATTCACACAACCATAGACTTTTCAATCAGATTGTTTTTTGAAGCAAAATTAGAGAGAGAAGCAGCTTCATTGTCCATCTCTGTTAATGGATGTCTCTGGTGCGTCAAGTTTATGGGTACCCCAGAAACACACAAATACAAAGTTTCCACTCACAACTGTATATATTAAAAAAAGGGGAGGAGGTGGGGGGAGGGGGGGTTGTTAAAATATATGTAAATTGATCTAATTTTTCTTAAGGTGTTAAATATGAAATACTAGGAAGTATTTTATTGATTCTGCTGGAATTCTTTCAGTTTGTGAAATTTAATCCATTTGTTTCCACAAAGGTTTGAATAAGCAGTCTGCACAGGGCCTGGAACAGCTGAAGTCAGTGGTTTGGAGGAGTGAGTGAATACTTTTGGTAATCTATCATCTCAGACAAAAACATTATATTTGTTCAGATAGCAACGCCTGTTCTGTTTTTGTAGAAGTGAGCAGGTTAAATTGTCATTTTTATGGCCACAGAGCTACTGGAAGTAATTAAAGATTTCAATTAAATGTTAAAGTTTTGGCTATTTTCATCTGTGGCTGCTTTTTATTTTTTGCACAGGCACAGTGGGTCTAAACATCTGTGGTCACAAATGGTAGAAAACTAAGAGCTCTGCATCGATCGGGTAAGCTGGTCGCATTTATCACACATTGCTGGTGATGAAGAAAAGGACTCTGTATGGCAACAGCAAGGTAAGGAGCTGATGCGCACCACAGCATGCAGCAATGAGAGGGTCAGAGGTGAGCGGCAGTTAGGCAGGCAGCAGCAGAAAAAATAAAAAGCTCTTCTTAGGAAATAAGAAACACAGAGAGAGAGAGCAGGAGGAGGGAAGGCTTCTCCAACCTCACAGGTCACATCTTTACAGGATGGTAAACAGAGGAACAGACATTAATGACAAACACATGGAGGCAGATGGACTAAGAGAGAGAGGGGTGAAAAAAAGGAAACAGTACAAGACCCCCTGCTGTTAGGTCCCCACGCAGCAAGGGGGAGGGCTTCACCCCTCTGAGTCCGCCTGATGAGGTCGACCCCGTGGTCCACCTACGGCCCAGAGGACCGGCCACGCAGACACACAACAAAGACAAGACTGAGGCACTGAAACAAGAAAGAATACTTTTAGACAAGACACAGAGACGAGGAGACCGGATCGAGGAAGAGGATGAATGAAACATGAAGGTGGCGTTTTGGTTTGTTTGGACGAATGAAGCGTGACAGGATGAGGAGATGGATGAGAGGTGAAGGCACTGATACTTTCTAGGGAATGCATATATATTCTAGTTTATAGTACAGAACCCTTCACTCTCTGGAGATCGTCAAGCTAAGGAGCTCCAGAAAGTTCAGTCACACCTGCAGCCCGCCCAGACAGGAAAACAGGTAGCAGAAACACAGGAAGTGATGTTCGCCATCTGTGGGCTTCACTCACCGCAGGGCCCCAGCTGCTTGGTCCTGATCAGGCTCTTGCTGAGGCACTCGGCCTTGCGGCGCAAGCAGTTGTTGGGGAAAGTGCTCCCGTCCATGCTGCACAGCGGCTTGTAGGTCTCATCACACTCGATTGGATCACAGGAGCAGCGGGCGCCGCTCTGCTCCACCACACACACGGCGTTGAACTGGCAGTCTTCTCTGCACACCTCTGGAAGCAAAAGAAAAAATGATGAAATGAACCGCTAACAGAGCAAACTGACTTCTTCTGGTGACCTGGACTTAATGCTTCTGGTTTTCAACCCCATTGGTGACCACTGGGAAACGCTCTGCATTCTCTGGTTTATTTTCTTTACAGATTTGTTATATAGTCTGTACAGATGCTGATAAGGCTGGATCTGGCAGTGGCGTGACGGACTAATCGCTGCAAAGGAAAAGGACAACGGACATAAAAAAGAAAAAAAACAATATTCAGAGCTGGGAAGTGTTGAAGTGTTGCCAGCAGTGTGAGCGGCCGAACCGCTGGGAAATAAATCAGTTTTTATCCAAACGGTAATAACATGTCAGGATAGACTGATGTCACCAGTGGGGTGTGGAAACGTTTCTCTTTCAGGAGCAGAGGTCAAACCTTCCAAAGAAATACAATAAAAACATGAAACCAAAACTTTTGTTTATAACAGGCAGCAAATAAAAAACACAGAGACCGTTCTGTGAGTCTGATTAAAGACATTTATGAAGAACCAGATGGCTTTTAGTAGCAGAAATATTTTATTCTAGAAAATACCAATGTCATATCTGGACTTTCTACATAAAATCATGATAAAATTACATAATATAATAGATGGATGGATGGACAGACGGAAATGATGGAACTTTTTAAACTGGGTTAGTTTGGAGAACTAAATATTTTTCATGCTGTGTTATCTCTCTGACTAACTCAGTTTCATAAAAACTTTTCTCTACACAAATGATTCAACCCAACCCCCCCAAACCATTAAACTCAAAGTTCTTCTATAGCTTTGAAGATAAAGTTTCCCAAAAAACTTTGACACAAAAACCCCAACCATTAGTCATAAAATAAAATTTTAGGGTTTGAAATTAAAATCAGACCATTATATTAGCAGGAATTTGCAGAAGGAATTAGGAGAAGCAGAAGGAATACTGGTAATGTGACACGGCACATTTGCTACTGAAGTGAGAAAATCCAATTTGAAGGGCGGCCTCTATTCTGGAGGCGCTCACCACACTTCCACGTTTATTTCACTCCTGATCAGTGGATTAAATTTGTACAGCCATCCAATTCCTTCTCCTCTTTTCTTTAAAAGCCTGTCATGCCACATTTAATTACGCCGCCACTCTATCCGAGTGCGAGGGCTACACGGATGTGCAATGTCACGGTTACAAGGCGAAATGGCCATTTTCATTAGTTACCAATTTGTAATTTGCTTTGGGATATGATTTCATGGATCTGTGTTTCAAATTGAATTATTCTTTTATTTGAAAAACAGGGCAGCACAAACGTGGAAGGGGTTGGAGGAAATAACTCATTCACTTGCTTACATGCATGAACCTGGTCACACAAACACGAGCCAGCAGATCTGCTGTGGCTGAGGTTTATGTGCCCTGCAGCTTCGTCATCTTATCAGGTAGAGCAGGAAGCATAGAATGTCAAAATCTGGATATCAGCCTTCAGTTACAGCCTGAACCAGAGGACGCCCTGTGCTTAGATCCATTCTTGTCTCTGGTGGTATCATAAGGTCTTAGTGCGTTAGTGTTGCCGCATGTTATGGCTGTAAACCTGTGCAGCAGTTCCCCAGCGAGGCTGCGCTGACAACACAACGGCGAAATTGGATTTCCTCCGATGGCTATCAGGCGTACAGTAAAAGCTGACAGCTCTTTGTTGACTGAGGCTTAAACCCCGTGTTCTAATAGCAAAGATAACAGCCCTGGAGGCTTTTATCAGGCAGGACTGGAGGCCCGTGATACAGCTGAGATACAGCGCAGACCCCGTGACCTCACCATAATTTACCTCCAAATCAGCCACAGGAGCACACCAACTTCTTCTCATAAAGTTTCAACCTTCAGTTTAACTTTGGGAAGGACAGATTTACTGTGCCTGGCAAAGTATGCACACCTCTTTCATCGTTGTCACTTTACTGTGCCAAAATATAAAGCTGCAGCATGTAACTTTTACAAAAATATAGTTTTTTTACACTTTCACCATGTTGACAGTTGCGAGATATTCTGTGAAAACATTGATCTCCTCCATCTACTCTCTGAGCTGCTACTGCTGTCTGAAGAAATTCACCAAAAACAACCAATCAGAGCAAGGAGGGGGGGCTTATCAATCAACCTCATGCACTTGCTGCAACAACAGGATCTGTTAGCTGCTGGCTCTGATTGGTTGTTTCTTGTCGGCACTGGGAGAATTGGGAGGAGGTGGAGGAGATCGAATTTATCACACACAGTCTCTCATATTATACTGTCACGACAAGAAGTTCAATAGATAAGGGAAAATAACTATAAAGTTTCAAACTGTAGCTTTAATGTGATTTTATGTGATAGACCAAGACAAAGACGAGATGGAAGAAAACTTTTCTGTTACAATTAACGTCTGAATAGAGGAAGATGCATTTCTACTCAGACCCTTTACTATGACACCTCTGTAGACTAACATCAGAAGCAACTTTATTAATGTAAGTTTTTATTCACAGGCTTTTTATTTCCATCTTTGTGTTAAAATCTATGCAATCATTTATGTTAAATTAATATTAACTGGAGCTACAATGTAAGGGCTTAGATTACAGCACATTCATGCCTTACAATGGCCTAGTTAAAGTTCAGATCTAAGTCCAAATAATAGTTGAAATTGATGTTGATAGCTATTAAAACAACATGCAGCTGTAATTACAGGAAGATTTGTTTTCACAAAGTATTACCTCAGAGAAGCCTGAAAACAAATGCACTCTGCTTTTTAAATTTATAATTATTTACTACTTTGTTTCTATCAAATAAATCCACATGAAATGGCATGAAAGCTTGTAGGTTTAGAAATGCGTAAAAGTTCAGAGGGGAAATGAATGCTTTTGTGAAGCACTGTATTTGACAGCTGAAAGTTGTTTTCTCCTCCTACAACAATGGCTTTGTAAACATTTGTTCATCATGAGGTGATTCACACTCCGTCACAGAGATTAACAAAGAAAAAAATGAGCAAAATAAGTGCAGGGTTTGTCCTGACATGCAAGCCCAGTTGATGAATCTGACTCTTTCAGGCTGTTCCTCTTACCCAACTTTCCACACGCTCCGGCGTGGATCTTCCTGAGGCTGATGCCCTTCTGCACGCCGGTGGCCGTCATGGCGCACTCACTGGGGTAGGTGTGGCCGTCGCTGGCGCACAGAGGCTCGGGTTCTAGTCGGCATGACTCTGGTGGTTTGTAGAGCTGCGGCTGGCGTGTGACAGCCTGGACTCGGCAGATGGTGTTCAGGCTGTTCTCGCTGTCTTTACACGGGTCTGTGGAGGCGGAAACATTCAGGAACAGGTTAGCATGTCAACAGTCATTACAATACTGCTGACAAAACACTTCAGCTGCCGACCCAAAGGCAGCACTGACATACTCAGCAGACTGAGAGTGACTCTGCTAGTTATGGACCAGTAGAACTACTCCGATCTAAATGACCGTATTTATTAGTGGTTTTAATGGTAACTGATCAGCATATTAAATATGTTGCTGCTCTTTGGTCAGAATGAGGACTACGCTGCTCAACCTTCACAGTTTTTAAAAAGAAACTAAACTAGCTGAAAGCAAAGCAGTTACCTATCCATCCATAAAGTCTGTCACAACTTACAGCAGAGGGTCTTACATCCCGTTTTAATGCTGATTCTGTCTGTTAGTTGTTTTTGTTGATGTTTTACTTGTTTTAGTAAAACTGTGTGTGCTGCGTTCTGTCCTGTGACTTGTGCAGCCACGTGCTTAGTTTTTTGTTCTTACTTCTCTTTGGACAAAGGATGAAATGTAGCTATTGTGCATATTTACACTGTGATGAATATGGTAATGTTGATTAATGTGCACTGCCCCAATCAAACAAATTAAATTACATTTAAACATAACCTTGTCAACTGTAGTTTTAAAACAGCACTACCTTAATTTAATCTTTAATCCCCACACAGCCAATAATCAGAAACCAAATGCAATTTTCTAATGATAAGCTGTAGGAGATTTCCACAGCCAGCTGTGGAAATCTCAGGTGGGGGAAGGGGCAGCACGCCATCTCCATTTTTAACAGGACTGTAAGCAAGTGTCATACTACCTTTAACTCTATCCAATCAGTAGATCTGAATAACTTACATTGTAACAAACTGGGACTGTTTCAGTGAATGTTTGTATCATGGAAGCAGCAAAGAAGAGAAGAAAATATCAAAGAAAATGAAAACATATATATTTCTGGATTTATTAACTTATTATTGAATTATTAACAAATAGCCTATATTAAGGTTATGTGACCTGTATTAAGATCTATGAGATCTTATTTCATGACATGGAATAAGATCTCATAGAACAAAATCTCACCATATTAAGACTGCAGGTTTTTCTTAATTAAGGTCAGTCTCACAAAGCACTATATCTGCTTACGATTTTAGTCCAAGTCATTAGTGAAGGCTCCAAATATTACATTGAGCTTGTTATATCGTATCTACATTTGAGACTCTTATTTTGAAGTAAGACAGGAAGTAGTTCTCTAGTTGTTCCCTGATTGATTCGGCTAATAAAGACAGCGCCCCGGGCTAGTCAACCACACTCCATTAACCTTATTATTATTAAATTATCCCTGACAGATAACTGTTAGCATCAACCATTAGCACAAAGCTAGAGAATATTTCAGTGTTTTTTAAAGGAATCAACTATTGTTAAGGTCTGGCTCTTAAACCATAACAAATTAAAGGGAAGCAATGCATGGGATAACTTAAAATGGGATTTATTTAACAAAAATCATAACTAGTTGGGGAGGAGAAGGAGAAAGGGGAGAGAGTGGCAAGGAAACAGAGAGAGAGAGAGGAGTGTCAGGGGGACAGAAAGAATGGGCTTCTTAAACTGGGTTTGATGCCATTCTGGAGACACTGGCCAGTTGCCTCCACTTCCAATCAGCACCAATCAAGAAGTCTAAACCAGGGACGTTAAAGACCCAGAGGAAAGGCCTTGGCACATAACACTATTTAGACCGGTCTAACTGGACCCTGGAGCTCCACCGATAGAAGTTTTCTGGCTGATCTTCAAAAAACCTGACCTGCCAATTCTGATTTTGGCCAATTTATCTGAAATGTCGCTAAATATAGAAAGAAAGTCCCTGAGTTGCCAACAGTGAGGTGACTTGATGATTTTTACTGCAAACGTTTGGACATGACGTGGTGGGTGGTGTTAACCTGATGGGGGGTGTTAACTCGATGGGGGGTGTTAACCTGATGGGGGGTGTTAACTCGATGGGTGGTGTTAACCTGATGGGGGGTGTTGACCT